ATGTCATTGAACGTTTCCATAAATTTTAATGAATGGTAAATGCACATGTTATATCTGTGTATTGTTATAGTACTCTTTGCATATTAATTTAAATGCATTATATTATGTAGAACCTCACATAGATTTATAAAATCATTGAAGAAATTACCTTCAAATCAGTAAAGGGGTTAATAGAACACCAAAAACATAAATATTACAGTTTGGAAATTATTACATTTAGAGAATATTTTTGGGAAATACGGGTATCTTTGTTATCTAGTGCATTTTATAGCCCACATTTGTGCTTTCCACTACTGTAGCATCAAGGATCACATAGAAAAAGGCAAAGCCCCTTGTAACGAAGTAACCATTTGTATTTGTCCCATGTCCTCAATTTCTTGGCAGTGCAAAGTAACTGCTACCCAGAGTCTCAGGAATTTGTAATCTAGGAGAAGCGCACAAGCTAATCATATAACCAGGAAGGATGTAATGGTATATGAGCTTTCATTGTAACTGAAGTTCAACAGAGCTGATGCTGTACGTAGTGTAAGCAGCATGGTGAGTCCACAGAGAAAAAAACTGATGTAAGGTAGCAGAGGTAAGAGGAGAAAACATTTCATATGTGTTGATATTTGTCTAATTCTAAATATAGGAAACTGAAAGACAGTAGTAGGAGATCAAATACATCACCTGGACAAAAGATATTCTGTTCAATTAGAAAACATGGAGTAATAAAAGTAACGTCCTGATTATAGTTAAAAGTAATATAAGTATTGTTTTATTTTTCAGCCACTTTATGGTCCTCAACAATTATTTAAAATTTTTTCCTAATAAAATCATGTCACTCTTGCAGATACAAAATCATTAAGGATGTAGGTTATAGTATCAAATGTTGTCAAATAACAGTTCATGTTATGAATAATGTTTGTGGATATTTTTATTACCATAGCTAATATATATGTAATAATGACTACAAGGAAATGCGAAGCAAATGTATATCTAAAACCACTGCTGAAGAGAAGTGTGCAATGTCATGATTCCCAAAACATATCACAAATACCTACTTTGTTTACGTTTATTCCAAAATCTTCTGAAAGTCAGCACACAACAAGAATAATAAAAATAACCCTATAAAATGTTTGGTATCTTGATAGTGGAAATAATAAATTCAAAAGGGTTATCCTGGCAGGAGAAACACATTTAGACGTACTTGTCAGGTAGAGCTAGAGATAACATACGGAGGCAGTCTCCCACCAAAGTGAATACTTTTCTAACTTTGGTTGTTGGACTATTAAAAACACCAGCATTTTCTCCAAAGAGGTTCAGTAGGAAAATCCCAAGTGAATGGCACCTAAAAAAGTAAAGTTGGTGGATTGAATGAAATTAGTAAAGATCCCATATAAACTGTCCTTGTCTGAAATAAAATGTAATAACTTGGAAGTAACAGTACATGTGTGCTTCACTTGATATTGATCCTGGCTTCTATCTATCAATCTATCTATCTATCAATGATCTATCTATTATCTATTTATCTATTTATGAGAGATACAGAAAGAGAGGAGAGAGAAAGGGGGAGGAAAGGAGGAAAAGAGAGAGAGAGAGAGAGAGAGAGAAAGAAACAGAGAGAGAATTATTTGTGGCTAGTGATAAAATTCATGCCAAATGAAAGTAAAATCCATTCAATACTTCGAGGAAAATATCACACATGTTATATTTGAAATAGCAGTGTAGTTGCCTAAAACACAACTTTTTTAATCTGATTTTTTCTCAGCACTCTAAGGTTATTATTTTAAAATTGAATAAATGCATTTTTCAAGCCATTTAGCTTCATGAGAATCCTGCTCAGTAGACTGTGAGCCCACCTGGTGAAGGTATATATTCTTCTCAAAATGTAATTCCTCAGACTCAATAAATTTCACAGAACATTTATTTTAGTTTGCTTTCAGGAAATAAAGACATTAGAAACAAGGCTCTCCATAGTTTGCATTTGGTTTACTCTTTTTCTTATTCTGTCTCCATATGAAGCCACTCTAGATATATTTGCTGTCCTCCAGAATGATACAGCTACATGTAGAAAGGCACATACACCCCAATACAGTGCATGTCATTCTTGGTCAGATTGATCCCTAGGTAGGGGCTCCCTCATACTGTGTGAAGGTTGTAAGTAGAAATGTGAAAAAAATACAGCGTATCTCCTTCCTCCAGGTTCATGGGGTTTCATAGATTAATCTGCCCTTCCCTCACTTGCTATAAAAATACTCCCTGCCAGTGTGTAAGAAAGACAATTAAAAATAAAATTGATTCATTCTAAAGTAATAAAAATATATAACCTCATATTTAGTAACCTAAAAATACTTTAAAAACAATACATAATATGACCATGAGTACAAAACTGCTAAAGGCTCCAGGCCAGTAACAAAACCACAGCTCTCTCTGAAACAACCTACTTGACCTCTAACCCTCTCTGTAAACTATTATCACATGCAGAATTCTCTCCTTTTCTTTACAGAAGTAATAACAATTTCTGTGTTCATTCAATAGAAATTCCTTTGATGATTTCAATGCTTTTAGATACTTGTCTTCAACTTTGATTGTAAGAGCCCAATGAAATATCAAAGGCAATATAAACTTCCATAAGTACAATAATTCAACCAGCCTATGACGACACAGACAGAAGAGAGTATTTTAAAAATAGAATGAGGTTAATGTGTTTGGCCAACTGGCTACTCTGATTCCATAGAGGATGGATACTACCTATGGAATACCCATTACTCACTTCTCCTCTGAACACACAGCCCATCTTAGAAAAATGGCATTTCAATGTTGAAGAAAAGGCAAAAATGACTAAATTTATTTAAAACTTTTACCTTGTTTTTAACAGTTTTTATAATTGATTTCATTTAATTTTTCTGACATTAAATTAGCCAATGTAGTGGAGCCAGAAAGACAATCCATGAAAAGAAATAAGAAATAAGAAAACAGTACAAATCTCAGTAACTTGTCTAGTAACTTTTATTTGGGGCTGTTGTTTTAATATTTGAGTGAACTCTGGACTGTTTTTCATTACTCCCTTTCTGAAACTAGTGCCCACTTTGTTCTGAAATTTCTGGTCATTTTGGTATGATGGTGACTATCTTGTTTTATGTTGCTTTATTACACAGAATAAACCAATTGTAGCTATCACCCAGAAAACAAAATTCTTAAAAAACAGTTATGTGTTGAAGAGCTCCCGAAGATACCTTCTGGAATAAATTGCGTGTATTTGTCTGCCTGCCTACTGTCCACAGCGCAGGTGGTATGCAAGAAAGAAAAAAAAAAAAAAAAACATCCTGTCTTACAGATGCTAAAATAGAATTAGCCTGTCAGGTTGTTGTACCAATATTAATTTTGATGCTTTCATCACAAAGCAGACTCATGCATGGACTTTCTCATACTTCTTCAATCAGTATATGCGTATGATAGGCAGCATGCCCAGTATCTCATGAGAAACTGATTTCCTGTATCTATAAAAAAAAAATAGATAAATCTCCATCTTCAAAATGTTTGGCTTTAATTGCATAGCCTTCACGTGAAGGCCAAGTAGGAAATTACTGAAAAGCAACTATTTCTGTGAAGATCAAATCCGATTTGTGTTATCAAAGGGCATGATTATCTTGATGCTCTTAGAGATCTCATTTTGGAAGATTTTCCACACTTGTTTAATGGCTTACTTTTAAAAAATAACAGTCATTAAAAACATATTTAAACATACTGTGTCTGATCAACAATATTAAGGAGCCCAGGTAACACACACAGAAGTAAGCTCAAAATATGCAGGGTAACAATTTTCCTCTAAAATCTCTTGACCCTTTCCTTTATTTATTTTTCTGTGAAAGTCCATAACTAATAAAATCTCTAGCGACATGATCCAAGCAATTGGTATTCTGAAAACTTTCTCCTGAACATCAACCTTTCCTAAACTGTCTTCCTTTAATAAATTTCATTCCCCAGAAAGAATTCTCTATATTATTCTCAGACAGTATTTTGTACATACGTCTGCTGTTTGAACCTCTCTTGCACTCCCACATGGACAAGGGCAATATAAAGATACTAGAGTTAGTTTATTGTTTTCTTTTCACTATTGGATGACAGAAGCCATGTATTAGTTTCTGTCTTGTAATACATAGTTTTATTTTTTAGTACAGGGAAAGCATGGAATGTTTTTATATAATACTGAACAACATGACTACCATATTCAAATAGTTTAGATATATATGTGTGTTCTTCTCTAAATTGTGAATATTATAATTCAATATAAAGCAGTTTTTAAAGTGATCTTGGCTCTAAGATGTTTCTTGATTTCAATATCACAACAAAGAGTAGATTAGAAAAAAATTATATATTATAATGAACACTCAAATTTTCAAGTAAGAATTAAATCATCCAGGAGGACCATACAGATTTCACACATTAACACAACCTGTGTTAAGTGTATGAGATTCCTAAACACCAAGGAATTTAAATAGTAAAATATACTGAAAAAATATTTTCATTAAAGAAAATATTTTGACCTAACAATATGCTAACACCAAAATTCTGAGTTACTTATAGTCAAAGTTTGGATCCAATAGCATTATCAAAAAATTGATTTGCTAAAGCTTTAAAGAACAGAGAAATGAAAATATATTATACATGGAAAAGTTTTGTTCAGCCTTCCTTATTTTCATATAGGAAATCAATTTGCATCACTGAAAACATCATTCATATCAGACAACCCATAGTTGTTAGGCGTTAATTTAGTTTTATGCTAAAGCAGGGATACTTGTTCTGATTTGTGATTTTCATTTTGTTTGTTAATGAAAAAAAATTAATGAGCAATGTTATCAGAAATACAACTCATCAAAGCATCGGCATTATTAAAAAGGTTTGCCACATACTGTACATTGTGATCATTTTGCAGCTGGGACCTAGACCATTGATGGAGGAGCCATCAATCAAACAGTGGAGGTAAGAGTTCAGGGCACAGATGCCTTCACACATACCTTTGCACTGATTCGTGTTTTTGTCAAGAATTGCCTTTGTGGATACAATTTTTCCATACCTGAAAAAGAGGAAAGAAGTCTATGTTATTGTAACTCATTGAAAACACTTAAAGTATCTTAGTGAATGTCAAGGCACACACAATTAAACATGAACAAACCAAGAAAACAAGTTCTTCACTGCACACTTGGATGATTTCCTTTCATAAGTCCTTCTAATTCAGGAATGCAGTTCCCTAGATACCTAAGCATTGGGTTACACCTTCACAAATAGACTATCAGGCTGTCAGAAGTGCAAAAGGAGATTGCTTAAGATTGAGGAAAGTAAATTGTGACCTATGGACTCTTGATGGGAACCGGAAGCCCAGGCACTGGCTGAAAGAGTTTGCGTGCTTTCCGACTCCACCTACTGCTGCGACCTTGAGCAGTTTGTCCTGACTACTCCAGGTCACAGTTTATTTCTTCTGTAAAAATGAGAAGCTACCTACATGCTCTGCTGCTTGAGTCAAGCGCCACAGTTTTGGAATCGAAGTATCTGGCTGCAGAGACAATGCAGTGAGGGGTTTAGGAGATTTTACTGCTGTACCAAAACACCCTGGCTCAACAATCAGTTCCGCCTTCACATACACCTTCAGTAAGTTACGTTAGCCTGAACCATTTCATCTTCTATAACGATAAAAGTACATTTGTTAACAATGATGCTGATCATTCATTTGCAGTAAATTAAATCTATTTTAAATGTATATAATGAGGAGAACACTGGCTTCCTTTTAGGTTGGATGACTAAATGGGACAGTGGGAGATACAGAGGAAAGGTCCATAAATGTCACCCTTTCCCCCAGTTATTCTCCACGGTGTCTGCTATATAATACCAGGCCTTGATATTTTTGAGGTACAGGAAGAGAAAAAGAAGGCTAATGCTTCAATGTCAAATGACAGTTTAAAGCATTATTAGATTGGCAAACATTCCCAATAAGAAATTTGGCAACTAATGTATTCACTAAAAGATAATTTATGTTTACAATTTACATTGCTATTTTTAATGTTACAGTTCTTATAAACAGTGTTTCTCAGTATACCTGCTCACTACAAACATAAGTTTTAGGCATTTTCTCTTTGTTTAGTATTACCAAAGTGCACTACTTCCTCTGTATTGTCATATGGTGTGCGTATTGTCCCAGGCTATGGGACAATATTACAGGAATGTCCTGTACTTCATTAAAAGCAGAATATGTAAAACTAATGTCATTATTTTATAGCAAAAAAAGATCAAATATTTTCTTATGGAAAGGATTTGGAGGTACTTTGAATGCTAATATTTTTCTAAAAGAATAAATAAAGACAAGAATGTTATTCCCCAGAGAATATGACAGTGTTATCAGAAATGGAAGAACTCTCTAATACAGACACACACCAGAAAAGCAAACCATGCTACTCCTTGACCTCCCTGTTTCTGATTCCACTGTATGAGTGACTTTCCGACTATTTAGAAACATGAAACAAAAGAACTCCAGCTTCCAAGTACTACATGCAGCATCACTTCTGACTGGAGTTACAAGAATTCCGAATCTTGCTCAGTTACAACATTTACACTAACAGTTCCTTTGCAGAGCTGAGACGTACTTTGAACAAGAGACGCACTTAATGGGCCATGCGTTACAAATTCATATCTGAACTCACAACATGTGAGACAAACATGTGCTTTCTGCATGACCAGCACGGTATTCTTCATGACCTATGGTCAACAGTTCATGTAGGTAAATACAGTCTAGACTGTCTTTAATAGGTCATCCAATCCACTACAAACACAAAAAACACCAATGTAATAAGCCTGAGAAGAATTATAATTGTTCTTCTTGATGTTTTGTCAACGTATACTCACACACTAGAAGAAAAATTACTAGACAGATGAAATTCATGGTTTTTATACACTCTAAAAGGGAAAAGAAGGATTTCTGAGGCAAGAGGTAATCCTAAACATGTATTATTTTACTGACTTGTTCTTCCCTTCCTGGGGGGTTAGATCAAGACTTAAATATTTTTAAAAAGTTTCTCCTCTACCCTGCCATCTACGAATGGAAAGCAAAATCAGACATTAGCGAAAACATGTGACCAAATTACTGAGCCAGGCCTGGGAACAGACGCCAAGCCCAGGTCCCATGAGCCTCCTGGCTCCAGAAGCTTTCAGGCTAACCCAATTCTCTTCTCCAGCCTTTCATTTCTTAGAAGCAATAAGGGCAAAATACCATCCACAATCAACTTCCTTAGGGGATTGAAAGTCTTGAAGGGAAAAATGAATGAGGTGCACAGTTTTGTATCATAATTCCTCCCACATGGGCCTTTCTAGCTGGTGCAAAAAGACCCAATGAGACCTCTGCTAAGATATTCTTCAACATTTAAATCATGCCCCTTCATAACTGTGTAATCATTCAGAATGCAAAGTGCTTATTGAAGTCTCTTAACACTGTCAGTTATCAAAAAAAAATTTTTTTTTAATATTCTAAGAGTGCTTTTTAAAAGGGTAGATAACCTACAATAACTTCTCATGTAATGTTTGGAGTTTTCTTAACTGAATTGTATAAAATCATACGTTGTCTACCATATCTTTATAATACATTTACTTTAGTTTGTCAATACAAGTTTTATATTCACTTTATAAAGAAATAACCAGCCCTTTTCTAGTATTTATCTTAGTTTAAAATGGCATCTGATTCAAACTATATTTGTTGATACACTCAATTATTTCACAGACAATCCTAATATAAACTAATGGCATCTTTATTTTCCAAAATAGGATAGAAAATAAGAGCTATTATGGATCTACTCTTCATGAATTATGAAGACATCAGACTGGCAAAATATTTCTATAAAGAATTTATTTTTAAACCCTTTGCTGAATCACTCACTGTGTATATTAATTCAAAAAATACAGGCAGAAACTGAAAATAGTCTCTGCAGTCAATTAACTCTCAGCGAACTCATTTTTCACATGCTTTCTATATTGATAGCACACTAGAAAAAGGTATCACATTTATTTAATGGATGAAACACTATCCTTTAAGCAAATGTGGTTGTTTGCCTACTTCTAGATGGCTCATTCATTCTTTGGTGTTTGGGATGCTAATGCAGCCTAGCGTTGGCTGTAAGAACCCAGCTGGAATTGGTGGGGCTGTGATAAACTACTCCAGTAAGGTTTCATCTACAAGTTCATAGCAGCGATATTCCAAAAGATTAGTTATTTCAAGCCACAAACAAGTTGTCCAGACCATGAGTTATTGTATGGATTGAAGTGTGCCTTTCTCCCAAATTAATATAATGAAATCTTGACATTTTGGTTCCTCAGAATTCAAATGGCAGGGACTTTGAGATTTAGAAGTTAAAATAGTCACTTAATCCTATGGAACTGGTGTGCTTATATGAAGAGACAGGCACAAGGAGCAAACATGAGAAGTCACATGGAAATTACAGCCACCTGCGAGCCACTGAAAGAGGCCTCAGAAGAACCAACCCTGCCACTGTCTCAGGATCTCTGACGTCCATCGCCAAGAAGGATGAAAAGATAGACTTTTGTTAAGCCACCCATAAAGTTATATTTTGTTTTGGCAGTTCTAACAAACGATTTCAATAACCCCTTTTCCCATGTATATTGACTTCGGGAAAGGGAACAGAAATGAGAGGGTGAGTGGGAAATATTTCTCCTTTAAATATTTTGCTCAATGATTTTGCACTTCATCCTTCCAACCCCTCACCTAAAACACCACCCAAGATCTTCTCACCCAGCCTGTGTGTACAGAGGCCTGGAAGCCTCACAGCACTCCCAGAAGACATAGCTGTTAATTCATTACATGGGCCTTGGCCTTGTAGTCTGTGCATCTTTCCAGGGCACTCCTCCTGCACCTCCATCCCCAGATAATCAAATATTTACATCATTGTTCTGCATTAAATAAATTTTACAGGTCTATTTGAGAAGTCAAAATGTTTTTTTGCTTACATACTATCTTGAGTCAAACACCCTACAAAGAACATAAAATAAATATCTACAAGGAAGAGTTGGAAAAGAGTTCTTACAAAAGAAAATGCATGTAAAGAGGCAATACTATAACAACCAGGTAAGTTTTGCTTATAATTCCAGCATGCTTGGAGGTTTAAGCAGGACAATTACAAGTACAGGTTCAGCTTGAGCATTGTGGAGACCTAGTGATATCCTGTCTCTAAAAGAAAAACAATCCAAAAGCACCTGAGACACAGCTCAGTACAAAGGCTCTGTTTAATCCTTGGTACAAAAAATTAATTAATTAAAACGTTTTTCAAAAAGATTTATTTTTCAAAACAATTTATTAATATTTAGAAAATTATTATTTTCATGCTACAAATACAACCACTAACAACCTAGGATGAAATGGAAGACTGCATTTCATATTTGAGGGATCCTAAGAAATCATTCCAAAATTGCCATTTGCATCAGAATGTCTTGGAGAGTTTGTGAACTCAGAATTTCCTAGAAATTCTAACTGTGTGCATAAGCAATGGGCCTGGAAAATCACTTTCTCCCAGGTTCCCTGGTAAATGGAATACTGTTGCTGGTGCTTTGAGAGTCACGGCTCCAAAAGACAAACACGAACGCTGACAGAATTACACAAACTACAGGATCTTTCTACAGCCATGAAAAAAACATTTTTATAACTGCAAATATTTTCTTTTGTTCAAGTAAAATTCCATGTTGAAAAAGAGGACTATTGTCATCAGCAGCTTTTGCCTAATTACGTCCATCATTGAGCCAATCCAGTGACAACGGACAACTCAGATTCAGCTGCTTTTCTATTCTTTTTCAGTCACATTTTAGGAAGAAAGTAAAGCAACAAGGCAATGTCTATGTCACTCTCTTCCTTCACCTAAAAATAACTGGTTAATAATTAGCAATTTGAATTAGAGAGCTAATCGAGAGAGAGAGAATTCAAATCTGCCAAGTAGATAATGATTACTAATTGGCTAGTGTTTGCTCTGGCTATTAAATTAGACAAGGATATGACGCTAAAACAGCTATGTCAGACTGCAAATGCAT